ATGTTTACTTTTTTGTTTCTGGGGATGTTTTGGAAAGTTAAGTATTCAATGTTTCATTTTGTATGGTTGCAGTGGGAAGCAAATCAGAAGACTCAGAACATACATGAAATCATTCAACATCTCGATTTTAGTTTTCACACCAATATCACAAAATACAGAGCTCATGGAATAAACTTTGTGGATTTAGAAACACTCAGTATTACAGCTTTACTTTTATATGTGGGGTGTTGTAAATCAAAGGGAGATTACATAAGAACCCAATGTGCCAAGACATAATTCAGTCCTAGTGTAAGTGAGCACAATTCTGTTAAAACAGATGGAATTGTGCATATTTAGCCAAAAATTTATCTTGTGTTCCTGAATGCTCACTTGCAAGCTTTTCTGTCAGGGACAAAACTCTGGATAAAATAAAGGGGGTTACACCCACATGTGGGCAAGTGTTAAAACTAAGGCAAAAATCTTAATTTAGTATAAACTGGAGTAGCTTCACTGACTTCTGCAGAGCTGTGTCAATTTACACAAATCCAGGCTCTGTTCGTAACAGTTTCATTTTCAGAAACGCTGCGCCTCTGCAATTTCAACTGAAGGCAATGAGAGCTAGGGCTGCTCTGCATTTCTGCAGGGGAAAAAAGTCAAAGGCCCTTTTGTTATCACTTAGCACATGTGCTGAGAAAGTGCAAAATTAAGACCACAGTGATAGCATTTTCAGCAATCTTGTGTATTCGTACTTACATAAGGTGCAAGCAGAATAAAAATCAGATTGGACCCCCTGCTAAGGAGCCCTCATTATTGTTCTAATTTAGTCCTGTCAAGCACAGTCCTCTTTAGGCCTTTATAATTTCAGAATTAGAGAAGATACTGCAGTTCTACTACTATTTCAAGTCAAACAAAGGCCTAGTTGTTTTGACTGAAAGCATGATAAAACACAGATACTCTCTAGCTGTTACTGTGATTCAACATGGATTTCTTCCATCACTTACAGACTTTGTCTTCATCGTTATACCAGTACCCACCCCTTGCTTTTTCCTGGTCGGTGATGCTGGTTGTTGCACCAGATCAGGAAAACCAACCCATTTGAAGAAGAAACTCTCTCCACCTGCATTCTTCAACCCCAGCTGTACCATCTTATCCCCTCCTTTTCACAAGTACTAGAGATTGAGCCAGTACAGGCAACTGCTGAGCCAACTGGAAAAAATAAAAAGAAAATCACTTTTAGTGTTAAGAGTTTGTCTGCTCAGCTCTTTGGCCCACCGTGGGTTTGATAGGTGCCAGAGCTAAGGGTAAATGTGTGCATGTGGCCAAAAGTGGAGGAATGTGGCCCATGCCTCTCAGAGCCAGTTTCCTTTAGTGCAACTTGGGTTATATTGCAGAATTGCACCCGTGGCATCACCACAGGACAATGCTGGCTGTAGCACCATTAGTTTACTGTAATAGAAAACATTTAGGTGGATTTTAACACCAAGATAACACAAACATTGTAAGTAAATAGTAAAGCCTTTATTCTCGTTAAGAACAGCATTTTGAAAATAAAACATTTGCCCATGCTTTACAACCTTTGTAGTTTTGTATACTTATGTACAGTCATCATGGTACACATTGATTGTCTTGAAAATCCTTTAAAGATGTACTTAATAAGATACCAGTATGCAACAATCAGCGGAAAAAAGGGTACGTTATAAAACATACATTAATACATTTAATAAATATATATTATCTATCAAAAATGAGCTTTAGCTCTCATCAATTAATAAAAAGCACCTGCTTTGTAATCCTGTAAATTGGTAGAATAGTCCAATTGTTCTATTATAAAAGCTACAATGCTCCCTTTTGCATGGCCTTTGGTTAGATGCAAGGCATCAAGCTCAAACAGCCGCAATACCTGTGTTTAAACTAAAACCAGAAACATCTAGTTCTATAGTATTTCATGTACTTTGTTTATCGAAAAAACTGTATATACTGAGAGTGCTCTTCTGAAGAAGCTAACGTATTTTCTGGCAAGTGTCAAACACCCTCAACTCACCTGAAAGCAGGACAGGATCTGTAAAGTATGTCTTTGAACTTTTTTCCAGCCATTGATCAGAAGCCAGTTTTTACAAATATTGTTTCAGTAATAGTTTTTTCAGATGCTTTACAATTTCATTTTTCTGCATGGCAACACCATGAGCACATAGCCATCAAGGGTCAACATAGTAGCTTTTATAGAATAAAAGCTAATTATAATTAACTGAACTGCGAAAGGCTTGTGCTTACTTATGTTGTTCACAGATGCTCTACATTCTAGATAACTTTCATAAAAGGCAAAAGTAAACGATGTGTTTACTGTAACAAAAAATAAGTTAACATAAAGGTGCCTTTCTTCAATTACCATTTTATTTGGGGCATTTTACATCACAGACTAGTAACTTACAAAAAAAAGTTGCTTATTACTAATTGTATAAAGTTGAAAAACAGAGACCCTCCTAATCTATTGCCACACCTTCACCACCACAAATTAAACCCAATCCTGCTAATTTTTAATTTTGTGAATAGTCCACATGACTAACCCAATGAGACTAGTCATGTGAGGATCTGGCCATATCTTTGCATAAGGCTTCCAATTCCAAACAACTTCATCAGGAGCAGGATTGGGAACTCTATTTATCAATTCAGTCACATCTAGAAAAAGAAAAGTGTTTCTTAAGATAACTATATCTTGTACAGATTTTGTCCAAGGTCTGTAAAATGTGTATTATAATTCATAAATCCTGGTTGTAGCATGATAAACTTTTTAAAAGAAAGCTGTCCTACCATTTATGCCATGGTCATCTTACATGTTTTTACAATAGAGTTTTATGAGGTTGTTTTTTAATTAAAAATTCTGCAGGCAAGTGATGGTAATAGGCTTTTTTATTGTCCAAATGGTGGATCTTCTGGGTAACTATCATTATCTTAAATACTATCTTATTTGATCAAAGCTTTGGTTAAAACAAGCAAAATGTATTTCTAAGTCGCTGGATAGCATGCAATATCCACCCCTACCCGACTTGGTTACTAAGGCCATCTAGTTACTCACAAAATAAAATAAGCACTCCCTAAAAACAAGCACATGCTTCCTTTGCCTCGAGGAGGGAAGGGCAGGGGGGAGCTAACATACTCCTTTACTCATGCATGATAGAAAAACATCGCTTCTGGTAGAGAAGGGCTTTGAAATAAAACCCCATAAGATGATCATGGCAAGAATGGCAATCTGTATTTTTCCCGTATATATATACACATATGTATCTGTGTGCAACACTTAGGGACTGGTCTTGCAGCCTCTGTACCTGTATGTAGACCAACTGGTGTCGATGGGACTACTGTGGGAGTACAAGTCTGCAGGACTAAGTTCCTAATTCAATAGAATGGGAGGTACACGAATCAGGAAGACTCTTGAAAAATAAAAAGCTTGTCTTTCTTTTGCAGTATACAGCAAGTAACTTCTTTCTGTGAAGCTACTAAGCTACTTGGTTATTTGTACATTATATTTTTTTAGTTTGAAAATATATATTTTTATTACAGCATATGCAAAGTTTAATTGTTATATGTTTCCTATGCCCTCAAGTAAAAACAATTAGCTTTTAGTGTCAAGGAAAGCTAAGATTAACATTGTCCAAACGGTGAGGATACAATGGTGTTTTCAATGTCCGATATGTATTAAATGTTAAATAAAGGAATGATTGCTTAAATGTAATGAAAAACCATGGCACAAACAATGGGCAATGGGAACCTTTTAAATAACCTGGAGAAAACAAAGATTGAAAGCTTTGAGAAAGTTTGCCTTGTATCAACTCAAAAAAGTGGAGGGGAGGGGGAGGAGTAGGGAAGAACCACCTTAAAAAAACAAAAACAACAACAAACAACCTCCAGCATGGAGACTTTACTAGCTAGGCACTAAGATGCACAACCACATTTAAATGCACAAACAACTGCAGTCAAGGGGACTACTCATATGAACAGGGATTAGAACAGGAGGTCCTGACCCTCTCTGCTGCAGAGTTTCTCCGGAAAGGTGGTTGGTGCCGTTCCGCTGCCACCACGGTCCTGCTGGCCAGGCTCAGCCCAATGGAGCAGGCTGGCATGGGCAGGGCAGCACCTCACCTTTCATCCACCACCACAAACTCCTTCTGGCACACTCAAGTCACATTCTCTCCCGAGCTAAGTCTTTGCAAAAGTATATCCCTCCAAAGTTTCACTTAATGGCTTCGTCTGTAGGAGACGTGAGGGCCTGCAGCTCTTTGCTTGCACCCAGGGTGAGGCTGGAATATCGGGAATCAATGCCACACGGCCGAGGAGAGCTGCCTCTGGGCTGGACCTACGCTTTTTCCCTCTGCCTCAAGAAGCTCCATAACTCACATAAAACATGCACAGACCTTTCGTCCCTCCAGAACTGCATTTCCTACACCAGCTTTTTGAAGAGTATCACCCTACAGTGTAATGGTAATTTAGTTGCCACAGAGTGACAGTGCCTGACTACACATGATGTACGTAACTGTACAGTACAGCTAATGAAGCAAACAAGGTACTTTTCATGATGTTTGAAATGAAGGGAAAAGGAGCAAAATGGAAAGAAGTCCTGCATGTTTTCACACTGTAATGGCAATCTCTTGTGGCAACATGAATTAAGTTTAGGTGAGAGGAGGGTATTTTGCAAGCAACTGGCAACCAACAAAAACAGGCTTGCCTTGCACACTAGTTACAGATAAGAGAATATCTTACATTTCAGAATACAACATCCCCCTCTTCCCATTTAAGATGTGCCTACTTCTATTTTAAATTAGGTTCAGCTTCAGTTTTACGATTTTGTTTCTGCAATTATCAGTTCAATGGTGTTCACATTTAGACAAATCCTCTGTAGGATTTCAAAAGCTCCTGGATGTTTTGTTGCTTTGTTCTGGTACTGTTATGGATTCCTCCCTCAAAGACACACTGCCAGGGAACAACATCGGCAACAAGGATTCTTATTCTCTACAGCCTACAGCCTTTCACCAGAGGTGTCGTCCCGTGTAACTTGGCGGAGCAGTTGGTATCTGGAAATAAGGATAACAAACCCATAACTGAGAGATCTAGTCTGTTTGAAAATCAGCATTATCATGCTACAAGACAGCTTTCCAGAGCAAAGGGATACAAAGAAACTCATCTTCCACCCCCCATACAGTACATTCACCTCTCTGTAAAAGCCATGACTATATATACATGTATATCTCTCATTTTATTATCTGATGTTCTCCATTAAGCTTTGTATCCACCTCAGAACAAAGCAAAACAAACAAAATGCCAAAACAAATTCTCTCTCTCCTCATTCTTAAACTGCCTTTTCCCTGAGCTGCATACTCTGGTATCAGGAAACACAGGCATAGATGAATCAAGCATCAGGTGTACATTAATCCAAACATCAGAAGGTTGCTGTTCATTACTGACAGCAAAGCACAAGCCTTTTCATTTTATTCAAGCTGATGTGTTTCCCACTGTCTTACCCACACAGGAAAATCCTTGTATCTAGTTCCTCTTTTTCACTAAAATCAACTAAAACTTACTTGTTTAAAAGCAAAAAGAGACCTGCGATCAGTTCATGTTATTTGGTTTTAAACATAGAGGTTGCGTTATGGAACCAGCTCATGATTCAAAATAAAGAAAACCCAAGTCACATGAGTATAAACTGGCTCATGGGTAGATTTTTAAGCAGCATGTAGGTATGTATGACAAATATGGGGATGAAAATTATTTTTCAACAGTATGCCTGCTATATGAAATGTCTTCAATGCAAATTACACATCATGTGAAAACCATTTAGAAGGTCTGTTTGGAATCAGATCACTAAGCCATTCCTGTAACAACCAGGATGCAGAAAACCAAGTCTATCAAAGAATGGCATGACAAACTATTGTCTAAGAAAGAAAAATCAATTAACATTAAAATATCCTATACTCCTCTTTTATGAATCCCTTCCCCAGAGATGTACACTCTGTGACTTACTTAAAAAAATTACATCTTCCATTTTCTTGTAAAATGTATATGTGAGAGACCACCACTATATGTAATAATGATACTTATTTAAAGTAATGTGCTGGCCTGTAAACATTTGTGTGACTCACATCATCTTGAAAAAAAAAAAATCAGGTTAGAAATGGTGTCACTTAATAGTTATGTTAAATACCTTAACACAAATTTAATTTGAAAGGGCCACTGAATATGTCATCTCAACAAAGAACTTGGTTCACTCAAGCTACACTGCAAAATGTGAACAGCCAAGTAAAAAAAATGCAAAATACTTTGTAACCACATCTTTTTCTAGAGGGAAGGGAAGCATTACATGCATACTTGCTGCTCAGATTTTCATTTATAGCTTTCCCCCATGCTGTGAATAAGCTAAAAGCAGGTTTTTCCATTAGTAGTGGTTCTATATATCAGTGCATATCAAAGACGTCTTACATCATCACATTTTGATACTTACAGTCCCACCATTTAGCACAACTGCCATCTCAGTTGGCTGATAAACATTGCTTCTAAAAGGAGCACTAGGTCGGCTTCCCAAACTGCCGTTTCGAAATCCTGCCGTTCTTAGTGCTGTGTTTAGAAAAGAGAGATCATTCTTAGGAACACAATTAATGCTGTGCATCTGCTTTGAAATCATAAAAGTATCTCACTTCCAGTTTAGTTATTGGGAACTTTGCCATCGACTTTAACTTTCATGCTGCCATACCAGTTTTCACATTGCTTTTGAACAGCAGTTTTTCTTATTTAGTTGGGGATGGATTGTAGAAGAATCCGTTTTACCTAAAATTAACTGTTTGCTGTGGAATGGGAAAAAATTTATTGGAACCAAATTTCTGAAGTTTGCTTAGTCTCCTTTCAATAGGAGCTAAACATCTTCAGTCACCTAACCTTTGATGTATCTTGCGTAATGTATTTTACAAAGTGCTTCGTGTATTGCCCTGGGTACTGTGGGGTTAAGTAAAATATTGCATTTTGCTTTCTATCAAATTCAGAGGACAGGGATCCAAAACATTGCTCGAGCCAGTAAGCATGCTCACAACCCCCCTGAGCATTACTTCAGCATGACTAGCATATAAGGATTTTCCAGATGTTTCAGATTATATTTACTCTGAGAAACTAGAAATATGAAGTAAATATTGCTTTTGAATAGCTTAAACATGGCAAATGACTGTAGCAAACAAGAAGATACTGATTGTCCTTCTTAATGTTTATACCAGAAATACATCGGTCTCTCCATTAATTTTAGCACAAGTTTGGAGTCAAGATGTATACTTGAAATGAGAGATACACATAGTTACAGATATGGTTCTTTCTCTCTAAACCAGTCCGGGGACTGGCACATACAAACTCCCTTTTTACTTCGGGGGTGAATAATGGCTTCACTGAATTCAGATGTGGCCAGGGAACAGAGCTCATTTATCCATGCGACTCACGTGGTGACAACAGGCAATACTCATCTGTGAGCTGGTAAATAGAAACACGCCTGGTTCGGGCACCTGGGGCAAGAATTTCTCTCATATTTAATTCAAATTACAATTCTACACGCCCTGGCTGAAATAGTGAATGAGCTGAAGTTTACAAGAATTTCAGCAGAGACTTTAATGAAACCAGGATTTAATATAGTTGCACTGTGTGGAACAAGATTTAAATGGATCCCACTGCCATATGCTGTCCTCTATCCACTGCTACTCCTCTCTTTGAGAGTTGCGCACAGAGATGGAGAACAGTATTGATTTAACACAGAAATTTAGAAATCTAGCCCTGCATACGCTCAGTCACTGACTTCAGATACACAGACCCTCACTTACTCTATATTTTAAAGCTAGATACTTTTGCAGAACACAGGGAGAACAAAGGATGAAAATGCCTAAACTAGAATTATGGGTTTTTATTTTATATTTAACCATCTCAGGGTCATCAGTATTCTTTCTTTGTAGTTTGGCTTCTTATTGTGTGTTAAACACAAATGATTGCACTGGTATTTGCTACTATGTATAAAGGAAAAAAAAAAATCTCTATAATGCATACTGTCATTAAAATATTTACACATGTACTCAAAATATTTACACAAAATTTCCATGTAATTTCAAAGTTATCTTAAAGAGCCATTAAATCAATTTCACATTGCTAAATTTTCCTTCTCTATTACTGCAATAAGTCTAAAGTCCTTTTAGCATGACAATCAGAGACAAAGCTTGTGGACAAAATACTCATTTTAGAATTTTTTTTCTCATACCAGTTTTACCATTTCTCCTTGTCCATTTTCCATTACTATTAAATACATCTACTTTCATAGAGTTAATATAGGTAAAAAAGAAAACAGTGCCAAGAAGATTTGAGCAAACGTCGTGTCAAAGTCTTCTTTTAAATTGTGCTAACTTTGGTTTTTGGCATTGGCTCCAAGGGTGACTTGTAGTACTAAAATATATTAAATGCAATACAGTGAGTACCAGAGCTGCTTAGGCTTGGGTTTCTTGACAGTTGTAGCATTTTACATTTCACATCTAGATTTTTCATCTATAAGGCAAATTCTCTTTGCCTTGCAGAAGTTGCCCTACTAGTGTGCGATGCACTTTCAGAGAGCACTGAGAACTCATTCAAGTTGCCTTTTTCCAGGTTTTCTAAATACTAACATTTTTACAAGACACAGATATGAAAATAACTCTTTTAAGTAGATATTTCAACTTGTCTGTCATATGAATATTACAATCCCAGAGTAGTGTGTTGTTTAAATGATGTTTAAATAACTGACTTTAAAATAGCTTTGCTTTATTAATGCGTAATGATACTCCTGGAATAGAACAGCTCTTGTTATTATATATAACTTAGAGCTACATTTGCTAAGAAAGAGAGAAACTAGGAGAACATATTTGTGTTTGAACCTATAGTTTAAATGCTGTTCAGACTCTTAAAATGCTGCTTAAAATCTAAAAAAAAAAAAAAAAAAAAAGAGTGAAATTACTGAATTACTTTATACAAGTATTAATGGAAATAACAAGAATTGATGGAAAATAGAATTATGCAAGCATGTTTTCTATTTAAAGCTAACTACTTAATAAAACAAATATTACAGTCAGGGAACTAAGAGGTGTTTTCTGGTTATCATGTCTGCCAAAATTTTACAACTAGTAGATCTGATATTCTTAAACATCATTCTTAAGTATAATTGAAGAAAGGATCCTTTAATTTTTAAACCCTTAATAATGAATTATAGAATTGAGGTTAATTAAATGAATAAAAGAAGAGAACATTCTCTACATACCTGCAGAAAGCCAATTGCTACTAGATTCCAGGTGCTTACCCACGGACAACCATCAGTACAGTGATCTGACTTAACACTTCAGCAGACATAATGTGTGACTTGAATATTATTATCTGTATTTACTTTAAGCTTCTACCATACTACTAAGTTTTGTCTCCAGACCCTGTTGTCATAAGTCTGTACTTAAAAGAATTGCTACAGAGGAATAATGAATATGTTTTGATTGATTAAAAATGTATGTATCCTTCTCCCACATGCCACAGGAATAGGAATGACAGGCATTTATTACAATAAATATTAATAAGGGCATCAGATAAGGAAATTATTTTGTGTTCTACTGCGTAAGATTCAGATAGATTAAAACACAACACAAATTGCACTATAACAGATACTGTAATGATTGTATAGCTATCATATAGCTATCCATTTCACTAAAAAACTTCATCAGTGAATGATTAGATGAAAAAGAGCTTCCAGTTCTTTTTTAAAATGTAGGCATTAATGGGAATAATACAAAGTGAAAAATCTAATTTTGTTCTTAGATCTGCCTTAGTCAGAAATAGCTCCACTGAAGTCCCTGCAGTTACCTTGCTATGAAATTAATTTAATGGGGGATGGAGGGCAGTTACAATAAAAAAGAAAAAAGATGACTGAGATGAGTGCTTTTACAGTCCATCATGAAGCTGCCTCTGTTGCTCTGGAACATTAGTAATAAACAACTGTTCTTTTATCCATGAGATTTTTTTTTTTTTACCACTGCCCTTGGTATATACTCACAGGATCTTAACTCCTTTCTGTTCAAAGCTTCCAAGCTACAAGGAGACCTTTAAAGTTCCTGCTAAAACACTTGGAGGGAAACTGCCTTCCTGACCCGACTTTGTGCCAAACAAGAGTGCTGTATTTCTCCATGCCTGGTCTATATCCAGAGGAAACATCAAACCCAGAGGAAATCAAAGATACATGAAGATAAATAGGAAGCTGAAGTGCCTCGACAACGTGCCCCAAGCCTTCTTTTGGGGGCTGCCAAAGCAATGTGGCAACTATTGGCTGGGACACCCAAGTCTTCTTCTCAATTACAGTAAATAAAAAGCAGTGTGACTAGTAATGAAATGTTTTCTCTAACTGTGAGACATCACCAGACTGCGACCAGGCTTGTGCTTCCCATCGCCAGCCACATAAGCATCCCTGTGTATTTTCTGATAGGGGTTCAATGTTCAGCAGTGGTTTGCATCTCTTAAGCTAACAGTTGTTGCTGGCCCTCTCAGGAATCATTAAAAAACATTTCCATTGCAGATTTTAATGATGTGCCATCACACATTGTTCTATGTCACCAAACAGCTGTGACAAGGAAAACAACCATTACCTTGAAACCTCTATACATACTCTGTTCAGATGTTGAAGCTGTCAGAACAAAGACTGTCTTTGAACTTGCCTATATGCTACTTTGCATTTTTCCTCCACAAAATGGCACTAAATCCCATTTTAATGGAAAGATAATTAATAATAATTATTCTGTTTCTCAAGAGGCCGAGCACTTTGTAAAATAAAGCACTTAATTTTTTTTCTTGAATTTTAGGAAAATATTTCGTATAAAATGTTAACAGATAATGACAAAAAATGTTAAACTATTTTAAAAGAGAGGTTTTTTCCCCCCACAGTTATTTTTTCCAGCTTTCAGTGTTGGCTTTGCATTTGAAAATGTTTAGTTTTTCAGTGAAGAAAACAATGCAGAAGAATCAGTTCAACCAAACACATGAATTTTCTGTATTGCAATTTTTTCCTGTTTCTTCTCCCACTAGGTGATATCTTAATGAAAATTTTAAAAGGGAACAATACGTAGGGTGCAAAATATGTCATTTGTAATGAACATTATTTGGAACACCTGAAAAATGTCTGGTACAGATTATTTCTTTGCTACTACAGAAAAATATAGTACTCTATAGTGAATTCTTACCTGCATTATGTTCATCCATTGAAAAGGCTTTATTCTCCATGTAGCTCCGAGGAAGCTGGATATCTTCCTCAAAAGCAGTTTCACGCATCCTTGGCTGTGAAGTATCAAAATAATTGGGAGTGTTTTCCTGCTGTGGTGGAAGGATGGTACAGTGGACCTCTGGGATGGCATGAAAAATAACAAACACCCAACCACTGGACACCAGTGCAATAGCAAGAGTGGGATCACTCCATTTGTCTCTTCTCTTTAGCTCCGCATTACCAAAGAGGTACATAGTCATCCAGGCTACCCAAATCAGAATGGAAAAAAATAGTGTTATAATGAGGCATACTCCGTTTTTCTTCCATTTCTTAAACTTTCCACAAAGAGTGAAAAGAGAAAATCCCGTGGTGACTACCATCAGGAACATAACGTAAATCAAAGCCATAGCAAAATCCATGGGTTCATAGCTGCAGGCCAGCTTGTTATCTCTGACAACTGTCAGTATTAGCCACTCAGTTGCAATAATGACCTGAACGAGCATCAGGCAGATTGCCACACCAGCTAGATGCCAGCCAGATGGACTCTTCCCATGTCGAACTAGTCTACGAAGTCTCCAGGCTTGAGCTAGTAAGCACGAGAAGCACAAAGCAAAGATAACTCCCCATAGAAACCTTCGGGTAGAGCACACCGTTTCATCTTCTTGTATGATGAAAGCAAATGTCAGCCCAAACAGTCCAAGAGTCCCAAACAGAAAGAGGAAGTGCATTCCCAGGGGGCTCTTCTTCTCTTTCTCCTTGATGAAGGGCAGCCTCACTAGCAAAATCAGCATCAGTAATAACGTCGTCAGCACACCTGCCCCCGCAACTGCCTCCACAACTATTCCCCAAATGGCGTCCAGGTCGCACAGGTACACGTACTGAGGGAGAAGATCCAGTCCACACCCTCTAGATGTACTGGAGTTTTCAGAAGAGCCATAGCTGATCACGAAGAGGAGGAAGAAACCAATGGCTGGGTAGGTTTTCATTTTTCTGTCTGAGAAAACAAAATATTTGTTTGTTTAGCTACAGTTCACTGTGGAGGATTTCACAGCAATTGCAAGTACAGTTTGTTTCACTAGCCCATATTTACTGGTTTTCTGCACTGGATTTGCAGCTGGCATAGCCCACCCCTAGTCCCCTTTGCTGCCCTCCCAGAAAGCTGCTTTTGCCTGTTGTACTCACAATGCAAACGGATTCATTTCTGTGTTTGCACAGATTGAAAACATTTCCAAACACTGCCCCTACAAATAGCCTAAAACACAACCAGAAGAAATTATTTATCCTGTTGCAGAATAATACATTATCTGTATTTTATTGTTCAAATTCACATGCCTGAAGTATGTGTAAATTGCACTGGGCCTGATGCAAGTGCAAGCTGTATCACAATAGGACTGTTTCACAGGCTTGCTCCTTGTACAGGAATAAAGGCAGAGTCAAAACCGCTTTTTTATTTTAAAGATATAGGGGTCCCAGAAAAATAAACATTGTGCTTTTTTAAAAAAGGAAAATCTTGTTTTCATGCTTGGTCAATAGGCAGTTTTATTCAGTCCTTTCATCCTCTTCCAAAGCCCAGGTATTAGATTGCATTTGCAAATGGGAATTCTGTAACAATGGTGCACACATGCAGTGTCATCAATCAACTAATCAAAAAAGAATGACTCATTGTACTTCTTAGCACTTTGAAAGCCATTCAAAGGAAACAACAAAAAACAGAGCATCACTTTCACCAATCCAGAGAGTGAACAATGGTAAACTTTCTAGGAGCAAAACACATCCTGCTTGACCATCAGGTCCAAAAGCCTGGACGAATCCCAACGTAAGTCTTAGGAAGAACACAGGTTAGGTGCTTTAAAAAGATACATGCTATGGCATTTGCTTTTATTACACAAAGCAGGGCAAGAGAGACTGTTTAAAATGTAACCTTTAACTGACCAATCTGCCCAGCGGTAGCTGCCCCTAAAGGCAGTCTGCAGTAAACACTCCATGTACCAGACACGAAACCTGACGCTGTTAACCTTCACTTGCGGAGTTAGTGCTGCAGGTTCCAGCAGGATTATGTTCATTGATGTGAGCGACATGCCTGGGTGAAAATGTTCAGAGTAGGACTTCCATTTGTATGGCATGACCATACGGAAGAAAAGCACCATATAAACGGGCAATAATGGCAGTCACATAGCTCATGTGATGTGTCTAAGATACAGAGCAAGAAGCAGAGAAACCATCAGTAGCTCTTTTGTAAGTTAGACAAACAGCCCTAAATGATTACCCATCTAAAGACATTTCATAAATCAGAAATGCATTTAATGAAAACATCAAAAACTTTAATAAGAGTTCAAAATGGTTTAATGTAACGGTGCAATGTTGTTTTACTGAACACAATCAGTCATAACCAATAGGACTGTCCAAAACTGTACAAGAGTTTCTTACAGCTGAGAACTTTGGGTTTTCTTCCTGTGCATTCACATCCTGTAAATGATTGAAATTAAATCTTGAGGATCTCAATTGTAAAACTAATGTTCATTCCCCTTTCACTGAGTAATAACCCATGCCCATTTTCACCCTCTGCCAGGAGACAGACGATGGAAATTATGCTGTTTTCTATTAGAGGCATCAAGACAGCGAATGTGCTAATACAGATGTGGAATGACTTTATGGTCTTCATTCATACAACAGACAATAAAGCCTATTACAGAACTTCATCTCAGAACTGAAGCTGTGAAAATAACATGACCTAGAATTAGACAAACAGGAAAAGGGTAATCGATGATCTTTGCCTCCCCATAGAAATTACGGTATCCTTGCACGGCTGAACAGGCTACAGTATTCTAATGATACAATGACCTGCAGCTAATGACTAATTATTTTTTTTCCTACCTAGCTGTAATTTACTTTATGGTGAATTGGTAGAATATTTACTTGTTTATATCTGATTTGTATAATAGGTTCCTCAATGACTCTGGCACAACACTCACATTAAAAACACTGACTTTACAGACAGAAAACTAATCATCAGTGAAATATATTCATTTTTGTATTGAATACGGGTACACTCAATGAATCTCCTTGCCCTATGAATACATAATCAACTAGAAGGAAACATTCTGAAGGTAATTTTGCAATTCCTTCTAAGCACAGGTGGTTCCTACTTCAACTAGTGCATTTACTCTTTAGAATATCTAAAATGTCCTAAGACATGTGAAATGGTCAGTGCCTGCTGACACAAAGGGAGGAAATCCACTAGGATCTACTAAGGCATTGCTGCAAACCACTGGCACCAATTACAAGAAGCAGGAGGTCATGTAGAAAATTATCCAAAATTCATTCTAAATGCCTCCCAAACTGGAAACAATAAACAGCCCTTAAGTGAGGATCATGTTAATTTTCCACTATCCTATCACTTACAAATTATGATACGCCTGTACTAAATTGGTTTCAATACCAGCTTTCTTTATGAGCTACTCTCCAAAGACCTGGGAAGTAATGAATTAAGTGCAAGTATCTCCAGTTCCAAGATATTTTCCAGCTTTCTGGTTACTTTATTCATGTCATGTAACCCTCATGTGATTGAGCTATTCTAGGACAGTCTGTTTCCATGGAGATTGTGCTGCATGGGTAAGCAGTCATATTGTCAGCCCATCATTTGTTTCCTCTTCCTATTTGGAAGTGTTTGGGAGGGGGGAAGGGAGGGTTAATGAATTTTGAGTATGAAGAAGTAGTTTCTTTTGGAAGGGAAATTAAGCTGTGACAAAATATGTTGAGAATTCAGACAAAGTATATATTCAGAAAAGGTGAAGTGTTCAACTCAAGAGGGGTTTTCCCAAGTTAGTTCAATTTGTGAAATTACTTTTGAGAGAGCTGATGGAAATAAACAGTGGTTCTCTTAGAAACCTCCTAGAGAACTATGGTATTGACCAATAAATCTCTATGACTGCCGACAGGTATTCTTGGCATGAAATCGTATTCCTACCAAATATCACTAAGTCTCGCGAACAGTAGATCCTGTCCGCACCAAAGCTTGCAAGCAGGACCTGAAATCTCCAAACAAGGAATCATTTCCTCACCACTACTATCAATATAGCCGTGTTTGCAACCTGCTTACTATGTATTTCTGCCTGACCAGGTAAAAACTGGCAATGTTAAGAATCAACCCCTGTGATGCTCCCAGCCAAAATCCTCCTCCTAGGACTGATACTCAGCCCTGAACTCAGACAAAAACACTGCTTTACAACATCGGCATTTGGCAAGGGAATACCACAGCTTTAGCTGAAACCATAGATTCATAAGTGAAAACTAAAATGTCTTTTTGCCAGAAAAGTTGTTTTGGAAAAGGTAAGTATATCAGTATGGGTTTGTTGTTAAAATAGCGTCACCCTCAAGCCTGTGCTGCGGGTAGAATGGCAGAATCCTGTCACTCTCAAGGTTTTGTAGTAAAATCTTCTGTCTGCACATTATTCTCAGCAGTTACCTAAACCAGTAACTGCTGAGGAATAGTATTTTTACCTCTTTATGTCTAGATTAGCTCTTAGCAAAGTTATGCAACCTCACAGCAGTAACAATAGTGCTCTATTTGACTGGCACTTCACTTCTACTATTACCAGAGAGCTACAGCAATAGTAATACAGAAATGTCACAGAAACATTCCAGCACAGATATAGTAAGTGGCACTGATATATCCCCCACATAGTTGAATGAAACCTTTCATACAGAAGGAAATCAACTTGAGACTTATTTTTTTTGTTCCCAGATTTCCCTCCAAAATTATATTTCATTACAAGTAGTTAAGCCAACATACCTGAACCCAGAGCAATCATGAGCACTTAAAATGAATCACTAAGCCTGACACGTTTCAGGCAAAAGCAGCAAACAATCAGCAGGACAGCTCGCAAATCCAGTTCTCAATTTTTGGTCCAAAATCTGCTCTCAGTGACAACTGTAATAACTCCACTATTTTCAACAGAGTGAAGTCCCCTACATTAGCTGGTGTAGAATAACTACAGAAACAGCAGACACAAAGCTGCCCCAGCGGGTACAAAGTACAATTACAAGCAACTAAGCAGAAACAGAAAATCTCACAGTTGTCATCAAAAAGTTTTCACGGTTAAAAATCAATGAGGCTTTCAATAGCTAAAGTCTTCTGACCAAAGATTGCAAATATCTCTTATCTGGTCAAAAAGATACTGCTGCACACTGTTAGAGAATATATAGAAAGAATAAGCCTGTAACCGTGCAGAGATTTAAGGTTAGGCTATTCACGGATAGATGTATTATCTGTTGCCCTTTTTAGAGTCCTAATGTTAATCGACTGATACAAGAAGATGCATCCAATCACAGAGAAGAAAAACAATCTAGTAAATAAAAGCAATAGTAGCACAAATAGTAACCTGCTCTGCCACACATAGGCAGAAGACTGGTTCACTGTACAATTTCTGAAAGAAAACCACCCCCACCATGAAGCGTTGTGGAGGGATGCTAGCGAGCGGAGAATTAATCACAACACGGGATCTCTGCCAGATCCTTCTGATCAGATCTGAAGAATGAGATTCAGGACTGATAAGAGAGCAGCAACAGCCAAGCTGCGATCTGACTACTGAAGAGATGTATTTCCAGAATAATAATTAATAGTGCAATTTTGCTTCGTATGCAAAAATACAGCAGTGATTTAGACACACATTAGAAGAATACACATGCTGTGTACAGCCTTACGGTCACAGAAAGCAAGACCCCACTCCAAAAAGGACACAGAAAGAGTACTGTTTTCATTCAGAAATACTTCGCAATGCTGAACAGAATATGAAATGATCTGTCTAATGTTCAGGTGCTCACAATTCTCTTTGGTCAGATTCTGTATATCGCCTGTGCCTAGATACTTGTGACTATAATGCCTGATGTTCACTATTGTCCTGACAGCCATCAGTGATAGCAATCAATGTTTTTCTTTTCTTTGCTAATTCTGTTTCTATTCATGTCCCAGCCTCCTGACAGATGG